TCCAGCAGTACGTGTAGTGGTCAAGACATGTGTGCTTCCCGTGCTCGCTGTACTCGGCCTGGCTGAACACCAGCACTAGAGAAATGTGTATCAAGGTGCCCTTGGCTATCGCCTGCTGCGTAAACACTCCCCGCCCTCGCTGTGGGTGGCTCCGCAGCTCCAGGCATCCCAGTGCAGGCAGTTGCACCGCTGTTTCATCCATCCAAACAAAAAAAGCTAAAAAAAAAATATAACGCACAGCCCAGCTGTCAAACACACTTTGGCGTAAACTAGCGGCAAATAAAAAGAGCTTTATGGGACCATACCACAAAAATTAAGCAAAAAGTGCTCCTTGCCAGGATCGAACTGGCGACATCCGCGTGACTCTATCATAGCTGTGTTGAAACTATAAGCACGGCGCTCTAAACCAACTGAGCTAAAAGAGCTTTTCGGTCTACTAGTACCTACTATAACAAAATTTTTATTGCTTCTAGAGTGCTTTTCTATAAAGGACCTCTAGCGAAAATGATTAACAATAATATTACGCTAACAGCCATGGTAACCTTTTCAAAAAGAAACTTTTATCAAGCTTAGAGAGTTAATTTATAAAGAACTTCCCTAGCAAAGATGATTAACCAAAATGCTCCTTGAGCAAGCACAGCAATCTCTCAAGCAGTGCTGCCTGTTGTCATAGACCACACTGATGACTGCCTGTATATTGACATTCTCACCAGACATCCAGCAAGCCCAAATTGGATTTGCAACTGGGCATCTATTGCCACTGTGCACTGCAAGGCTGTTAATGAGAGCATTGAATGTAGATCTGCCACTACAGCCAACCTGGGCAGTGCTGTGGCAACTCACAAATGAATTGCCAACTGTTGTATAACAGATAGTGCTATACAACGCCCTAACAGATTAGGGCCTAGTTTTAATCAGAGCCACTAGGGCTCTGTGCTTTTTATAGGACATGCTGTCCTCAAGTTTTGAATATATTCTTTAACTTCTTCTTAAGTCATCTATTTGTGTAATAAAACTGGTAGCACCTCCAGTTTCTCTTATTATTGTAAATAACGGACATGAACTACTCTCAGGCATCGGCCTTTGCCCAGCATGTTCACGGCCATCCCTGGTTTGATGGCAAGGCTGAGACGTTGTCAGTCAACAGTTTGGAACGAATCCTCTGTAGTACTTTCAGATTGCTTGGAGTACAGAATGCAGTTCGTCAAGCAGCACTAGCAGAGTCGCTGCTAAACCACACTGTTTTGGACAGCTGGGGCAGCTATTGTGAGACTGAGGGAATAGTTGAGACTGCTATGCTAGCACAACTCTTGCAGTATCTACAAGCCACTTATGACACTATCAGCTCAAGCTATCAGGCATTAGCAGAACTCATGTCACTAAAGTTTTCAGCTGATGCTGACCTACCTCAGTTCAACCAGCAGTTTGACTATTTGGTGAACAAGGCTGAGCTGTCTGCCAATCAGCCCAGTCAGGCATTGAACCATTACCGTCATGCTATGCCCACTGATATAAAGAAGGAACTGTTTGCTGCTGACATTGTTAACGTTCATCAGGCCCAAACTTGGGCATTGGTCTTGTGGCGTACTAGGCAGTCACTACGAGCCAAGAGTAACCGGGTAGTGGACACTCGGGGTGAGCCCATGGATATTGACTGGGTTGCAGTTAAGCCAAACACTCGTCGTGGGTTGAACAACCGTAGTGGACCGAACCCTCGCCGAGGACTGCAGTTTGATGCAGAGCAGTTCCCTTGTACGGCGACTGAGTTTTGCCAACGGCTTGATGCTGGTGTCTGCATGTATTGTGGCAGAAACAATCATGTATATCGGCACTGCCGGTTCAGAGGCCAGCGCAAACGCACAGTTCAAAGCCGACAAATTGAGGCTGAGCAAACGTCAGACTCTGCATCCGAGTCATTGGGAAACGGCCAGTGAGCCAAGACGAAGCAAGTGTCTTGTGCTCACCAGTGGCCAGAGTTAAGGATATTGTCGTTTCTATTAATGCTACATCCAGAACTCATAATCTTGCTAGGGATCAAGTAGTGGTCCATTGCACTATGCCTGGTGGTCAGCGTATACGCAGACTGGTGGATAGTGGTTCTGAAGCCTGCTGCATAACACCAGCGGCAGTGAAGCGGCTAGGACTGCCTATTCTTCAAATGCCAGGTCAGGCTATTGTGCGACTGGCTGATGGAAAAGAGTTTTACCGCACCAACGAGTTTGTGCAGGTGCAGGTAGATGTTGGTGGCTGTGGAGTCCTGACTACCATGGTCTGCTGTGTAATACCAGTGAGTGAAGAGCTGATCATTGGAATGACCTGGTTACAGGCCCACAAAGCCCTTGTTCACTGCGGATCATTGCCAGGTATGGAATACCAGTGCGATGGTAAACAGATTTGAGTAACCGGTGAACAGGGCTTGCAAGTGATTTCGACCACCAGAGCTGCTCAGGCAGCCAAGGTCATTATCTCAGTCCACGAGATAAACCATTTGCTTAGCAGTGACCAAGGACATGAGCAGATTGAGCAAATGTTTCTGGCAGTGGTACAGAGCAAGCCAGCCAGTGGCAGTGCTCAGGACCAAGCAGCATCAGAGGATCATGATGCGCAGTACATTTTGCGAGAATTCCGAGATGTGTTTGCTAAACCACCAGCCGGATTACCTCCCAAGCGCAACATCAACCACTGTATTGACTTGCTGCCTAATGCCAGACCACAGTCGCAACAGCCATATAGGCTAGCGCCTAACGAGAATGCGGAACTGGACAAGCAGGTCAAAGAGATGATTGACTTGGGCTATATTGAGCCATCAGTCTCACCTTGGGGCGCACCGGTACTGTTTGTCAAGAAAAAGGATGGCACAATGTGCATGTGCATTGATTACCGACGGCTAAATGAGCTGATGGTGAAGGACTCTTTTCTTATTCCGCGTATTGACGATTACCTGGACATGACAGTTGGCGCCAAAGTATTCTCCAAATTGGATTTGCGCGCAGCTTATCATCAGGTACAGGTACAGCCAGGTGATGAACCAAAGACAGCGTTCCGTACAAGATTTGGCACATTCCAGTATCGGGTGTTGCCATTTGGGTTGTGCAATGCTCCAGCCACATTCCAGCAAGTAATCCAGGATGCATTGCAGCCCCATCTCAATCGGTACTGTGTGGCGTATCTAGACGACATTCTGGTTTACTCACCAGACAAGAGGACTCACAAGAAGCACATTGCAGCAGTGCTGACCACATTGCGTCAGGAGAAGCTGTTCTGTAAAGAGAGCAAGTGCAAGTTCTTCAAGCCAAAAGTCGAGTTTTTGGGTCATGTTATTGGTCATAACCAGGTCAACATGGATCCACGTAAGGTTGAGGCAATTTGCCAGTGGGGCCAGCTAAAGGATGTAACAGATGTTCGACGGTTCCATGGCACATGCAATTTCTACCGGCAGTTTATCCGCAACTTTGCAGGCATTGCTCAACCATTGACTGATTTGCTCAAGGCTGACAGTTTTGTCTGGTCACCTGAAGCACAACAGGCGTTTACAGCATTAAAGGAAGCATTATGTTCAAAACCAGTGTTGCAACCTTTTGATCCAGCACTGCCCAAGCGACTAGAGACTGATGCTTCAAACTATGCTATTGGAGCTGTACTGCACCAACGGAACAATGATGGCTGGCATCCAGTATCTTTCCTGTCTCGGCGGCTGTCTCCTGTAGACACAAAGAAAGCAATCTATGGCAAGGAACTACTTGCTATTATTTCTGCACTACAGGCTTGGCGTCATTATTTGCTGGGAAGTCCGTTTGAAATTTTAACTGACCAGCGGGCGCTGAAGCATCTCAAACTGCAGTCAAGTGCCAATCCACAGTTTGCTCGATTCCTTACTATCATTGCCAAGTTCGATTTTACTATCGAGTACAGAAGGGGCTCAGAGAATGTAGTAGCAGATGCACTATCTGAAAGAGTCAGCCAGTGAGGCCAAGAGAAGAGCTGGCTGGCAAAGAAAAAGAAAGAAGTTATTGTATTGACCTTAGGATTGAAAGTAAAC